AAACAATTCCACCCTTGAGTAATCTAGAAACAATCCCACATTTACCCTCCATCTGCTCAAAACAATCCCGTTAACCACAACTTGTTCATCAGATTACTTTTTTTAAACAAAAATAAAAAAATCCTTTAATCTCTCTCCTCCCACCTTATTCCATAGCAGCCCACCATGACCACCACCTCTCTATATTCGCCACCAAACCATAAGTACCATCTCATCTCATCACAACCATCACACCACCACCTGACCCCCACCCCACTCGTACCGGCATATCTCCCTCCCACCCCAATCCCAATTCCAAAACTACTTCACTCATGCACCAACACAACAACAACATCACTCACCACACCTCCCCTTGCCACCAATCCACCTCTCCACAACCGGCTACCACCCTCCTCAACGCCCCACAACAACAACAACAACAACAACATTAAATTCATTCTCCAAAACCTCAAAAATTTACCCCATAACACCTCACTAATGAGTACCAAATGACACTCATTTGATGAGTTTTTAGGTTTTTTTTACCATTTTTTTTATAGTTTTCTTTCTTAATAAATGCTCGGTTTTGTTCATTAGTTTCCTTATTCTTGCTTACGTTTTTATCCACTTTTGTGGATTTTCTCGTGTTTTTCCCTTTTATTTGTTCTTTTCCTTTGTTTGTAGGTTTAAGGCGAAGCATGAGACCCGTCACGATGATTTTCCGGGATGGAAAAGGCTTAAGGTGCAGGGTGGAAGCTTATGCAAAGCTCATATAGCAAGAGATGGTTTACTACAAGACTTGATGCTTGCGCTCTCATGCTACGCACTCATGAAATCATGGTGTTGAACCCACCATAATTCATTTCGAGACTGCCATACTTAGTGACGATCAAGCAGGGCGCACCATCCACATCACGCATGCACCGAAGAAGTGTCCTGCTCCAGATGCGCAGGCGGGGACGAAAATGTGCGGGCGCGCAGGAAAAATGTCGCCGCGCAACAGCACGGACTGCCACACCATGGCATAGTCCGCCGCGCCATGACAATCTCTGCCACGCCACGGCAGCGCCGCGCCACGGAAAGCTTGAGTTGCGCGGGCGTGCTTCATTTCTGCACGAGCGCGGTACTCTAGGACTCTGTTTTCGTACCCTGATTGTCGTGGGCACACAAGCTCGTGAGAGGGCGCGCCTGGTTGGGTTTATTTCGGGATTTTTGCCTTATTTCCTTTGCAGTTAGTTATACTATAAATAGCTTTTCTTCTTAATTCTTAAGGAAGAAATTAAGCAATTAATTCTTAACTTAGTTGATAGTTTCTCTCTCTAGTTTTAGGGTTAGTTTAGGAGTAGTTTTAGAGAGAGAAAGTGAGGGACTTCAATGGTGATTTGAGAGATTGAAGATGCAAGGGTGACAATTGTATTGAAGATCTTCTCAATTATCAATGAGAATTTCTTACTCTATCTCATCTTATTGCTTTCTTTAATTTCATGTTTGTTTGATTTGGTTTTGATGATTGATTCTTGATTAGTGTAGTTGTTCTTCAATATTTGTTGATCCTTGATTTCATTTACTTGTCTTGATTTGATGATGAATTGTAGTGAGTAGTTGCTTGTTAGGGTTTGGGTAAAACTTGTATGATTAATTGATTGTGATTAATTTGGGAATTATGTTGATTGATTGTTGAGATTAAAGTGATTAATGTAAGTTTGCATGTGCTTAGTTTGATTAGGCCTTAAGAACTATGCTAGATTGCATTGTAGATCCTAATGACATGACCACTTAATTTAGGATTTGGAATTGTTGATTGATTTGAATTGTGATTCTCCTAGTTTGTTATTCATAGGAAACCTAGCTTAACGATTAGGAGATACTTCTTTGATTCCAATTGATTGCTCTAATCATTAGTCTTCACAACCATTGATTAGCATGACCTTCCCAAGTTGTAACAATTGTCATGATTACTTGTTGATCCCCATTCCTTAGTGTTTCATTTGTTTGCTTCTTTTTTTTGGTAGTTCATTAGTATTGGTTACTATATTTTTCACCTTTGACTTCGACCTAGCTTAAGCGCACATTGAAAGCACTTGAACATAACCATTCCTAGTGGTTCGACCCTTGACTTACCTCTATACTTGTATTTAGGTTTGTTAAGTGATTATAAATTTTGTTTGACACTAGGGAGGATTAGTCAACGACCTAGTTCACCCTACGTCACTCACAGGCATTGCAACAATTGAATAGAAAAATGATGGGTACATTGCAAGATGGGAGTAAAAATTCATGGGAAAAGAAGCAATGGATGAAACCCCATTTGGTTAAATTGGAAGAACAAGGATTGAAATTTCAAGTTCAAGCATTGTAATTAGAAAAACTGAGATTCAAATGGATAAAATTCAGCAACAATAAGGAAATAGAATTGGAAAAATTGAAGATTAATAATGAAAGAAAATAGGCTTGAGAATGAAAGGATGATGCTTCTGTTTGCATAGCGGTGAAGGGATGGCTGCTCTAGCAGGGGTAATCATGGGTGGGCTGGCTCCATTCTGGTCGGGGATCGAGAAGAGTGAAGGGGGACAAGAAAGGAGGGGTTTGGGTATTTTTTTTTTTTTTTTTTAATTAATTTTTGTAATTATTAAAAAATTAAAAATTGGATCAATAAGAAGGTGATACATGGCAAGTCCCCTTCTTTAATAGGCTACCAAATTAACAAACTGAGTAAGGGATTGTTTTGAGCAGATGGGGACAAAGGTGGGATTGTTTCCAAATTATTCAAAGGTGAGATTATTTTAAGTAGAAGTGACAAAGGTGGGATTATTCTTTTTAATTTTTCCTATATTTAAATCTAAACTGATCAAAGATTCAAAGCATATAAATTAAACATTATAAAATAAGAAATTCATGAAACAGAATAAGGGAGAAGATACCAAACTCAATGAAATCTGAACATGATTAAATAAGAACACAATAAATATATAACAAAACTTGAGAGAAAATGGTACCAAAAGCTTAAAACTAACATCTGAAACTAAAGCCTAAAAAATACTTCTTATATCAAAACAAACTAAATTTGGGTTTATATATAATTCCCAAAGTATGACAAACGATTGAACTAAATTAGGAAAAACACACGCCCAATTGGGCGAGGCCACTATCTTGAATTGTTCTGTTGGGCGCTTGCTCAACCGGGCGAGCAATTGCTCAATTGGGCTCGATCACTTTGGCTCGTCGTTTAGGACCTTTGTTATAACTTTTAGCATCTACTAACTTTGGGCTTTGACTTTGTAGCCTAATGCACATCCTTGGATGGTTCTCTAACTTGAGCTACAAGTAGGCTTGGATGCTAAGCCTTCATTCAAACCACCAAGCTCTTAATCACAGCATCACGACCTTAATTGGGCACCAATATTTTCGGTCATATATAAACAACGTATGCGATCTAACTCTAGTACCTTTTAGTGGTTCATTAACCTTGAAAATCATCGAAAATCTGAAATTTTTTACAAAATCGTACCAACTCTATATGAATACTAGAAAATGCATATTAGTTAGACCAGATCAAGTGTGACCCGGCCCGTTTATGGGCGGGTTTTGGGCATATTTTTCAGCCCGAATTTTTTACAAAATCGTATCAACTCTACATGAATACTAGAAAATGCATATTAGTTAGACCAGATCAAGTGTGGCCCGGCCCGATTTTGGGCGGGTTTTGGGCATATTTTTCAGCCTGAAATCGGATTGGGCCCGGCCTGACCCGACTTTTTTTTTTGGCAGGGGGACACAAAAAATTTGGCCCAGCCTGGCCTGAGAAGTGGGCATAATTTTTTAGCCGCCCAACAATCACCTCTAATATTAGTAATAAAAATGGCTCTGAAGAACTCAAATAAGCAAAAATACGACCTTGGGACGGGGAATAACATCATATATAAGATGGACTTATCAATTCCTATTAGGAATCACTTTTGAAGTTCCTTCGATCTAGCTTCTCATTTGAGATCTTCCTTTTGTAAACTTTCTTCCAATATAAGGAGAAGTTTGGTTTTAAGCCTCGGTTCGAACAGGAATCCCACTTTTGCTAATTATTTGAATGCTTGCTTATCTTCATTTTCTTTTCAGTTAGCTTTGTTTAAAGCTTCTTTTCAACTCCCCGAGTCTACTCTACTTGAGAATATACAAACACTCGAAGAACTTTCAGTTGAAGTTTGCTTAATTGTCATCGCCAAAAACTTGCAGGGTCAACAGGTTTCACACCATGAAGAACATGAGAATAGCATGTAGTTAATAAAGTTCATACTAGTTTCCCGATTCTCAAGTAGATGTATTAAAGATATGTTAAGCTCATGCAAAATAATTATGTCAAAATGAAAGAAAATATACTACTACTACTACTAACATAGTAGAGATTGTTTACATTTATGTAGCAAAATGAAATGGACATAAATCTATGATATTATTCTCTTCATCTAAAAAATGTTTCAATCTAAATTGTTTTAAGATATCATTCAAAATACATGTTTTAACTTTTGAGTATCTTTCGTTTCAATCTTCATTTTTAAGTATGTTTTGTTTCGGTCTATTTTAGTGTGTGTATATATATATATATATATATATATATATATATATATATATATATATATATATATATATATATATATATATATATATATATATATATATATATATATATATATATATATATATATATATATATATGTATATATATATATATATCTTTTTTAAGTATGCTCTGTTTCAATCTTGTTCAACTTGATTTGAACTAAAATTTCTACATTGTTTAATTTTTCATTGACAAAAGTCAAAATAACACACCTAGTCAGATCAAAATCATTCTGGTCTGATTTTTATTATACTTGATCTGGTCTGATACGGTTTTAACAAAGAGAACTGCATGTACTAAATCAAAAACATGGATACAATGTACTCAATATCCATTTAAAATGTAATTCAAAGAATTAAATTGGCCATTTTGAAATTGTAATTAAATGAAACTTTTTCATTAATAAATTTCCATCCTCACACCAAAAATGTTTTTGCTAGGCTATAAAAGTAACCCCAAGGCCCAAGTCCTATTCACAACCAAAGATGAGAACATCACTTTCCTCCTCTCTTTCCTCCTTCCCCCAATAAAAAGCTCATAGCTTCTCCAAAAAAATCAGTGCTTTTCCTTCAAGAGAAAAATCTTCTCTCTCCAATCAATCAATCAAGAAAAAAAGTGTTCTTAATCCAAGAAATTCCCTTATAAATGTAAAAAATTCCACCCATTTTTATATGCTCTGTTATTTTTTTTCCCAAAGTCCTCTGTTTTTATCCCCTGTCAATTTATTTATTTGTTTATTTTGTTGGACTGAATGATGGGTGAAAGCTCTCTGTATTCACAGACTTTTCACATTACTGTAATTCTAGAAACTAGTTTTTTTCGTCACAAATTTTAGTTTACATTTACAAATTTTTATATTTTTATATCTGAAATTTTGATTTTTTTTTTTTTTTGGTTTTAAAATCAGTACAAAAAACTTGAAAAAATAAATATTTTCGATGGAAGGTGGCAGAGTTCATGGTGGCTGTCATGATATGATTTCATCGCTTGAGAATTCCAACAATTCTCTTTGGCGTTCTTCTTCTTCTACTTATTACGGTATGCTCTCTCTCTTTCTCTTTCTCTGTAATTTTATGAATTTTGTATCAATTTATGATGATCTACATTTATATATCAATTTATAAAAGCTAGCATGATTATTAATTTTATTTGTCTATGTATATTTTGTTGTGATACTCTTTTATTTTTAATTTGTTCAATTTAATATTTGATTTTTGATTGAGTCATTGAGATATATAAATAAATTTAATAATTTATTTAAATCAATATTTTGTTTTACTGCTATCTTAACTCCTTAAGTGAGTGAAATTTCATTATCAAAAATATAAAGATTTTTTTTTTTTTTTTTTTTTTTTTTTGCATGAACTTTTATATTTAATAACCCACTTTATAGTAAATCATTTTTATTACAAGGTCCCCCTCGTATGAAACATAATTGATATGATTGGATCTAAAAAGAGCATTTTTACTACTACATAAAGTTCCATGAAAATCTAATCTTTCTTGCATTTTTTGAGCAAATTTGCCCAATTATGTCTCTCTTATAGTCCTTTTCCATAACAGTACCACTTACTAGATACTATGTGGTCTCCTTCAGTCCTGCATTTGTATCGATGTCAGCTAATTTATTTGGTAAATTTTGTAAAAGTCATTAAATTTTACATCAATTTTGCTTTATGTCCTAGGGATGATGGTGAATTTTGATCAAGAACCACCGCACCGGCCACCACCACCACCACTGCCGCCACATCAACAAGGGCTTTTGATGAACCCAAAAAGGTACCGTAGCGATGAACTGTTCGCCGGAACAGTCAATGTGGAGGACATTAGCGAGGATGAATTGGATGCAAACCTCTTCAACAACTCGGTGAAAAAAAGGCGGCTCACCCCGGAACAAGTTGAGTTTTTGGAGAAGAGTTTCGATGCGGATAACAGGTTGGAACCCGAGAGAAAAGTGCACCTAGCCAAAACAATTGGGTTGCAGCCAAGGCAAGTTTCGGTTTGGTTCCAAAACCGACGTGCTAGACATAAGACTAAGCTTGTTGAAAAGGAGTTTGGTTCATTGAAAGACAGCTATAATAGTCTCAAGGTTGATTACGACTCCCTCATCAAGGAAAACGAGAACTTGAAAAATGAGGTATATACTTGTATATTTATTCTATACAATTTTTTTTTAAAGTATGGTCTTATGTCATTTTCATATGCTTATTACAATACTAGGGGGTGGACCAAATTTTTTTTACACCCAACAACCTAATATTGATTTTTTTTTTTTTTTGTTGGCTTACTAATTGTTTTATGCTCATAACTTGTAGAAGACTATTGATTATATTAGGCCTTTGGTGTCTACTACTGTCCAGTTCAATGAACATATTGTGATTTTTTACATCGAAGACTTATCATAAAATTAAATGTCGGGGGTGTTGTTTAAAGTAATATTTCATTGGGTTTTAAGATTTTGTTGACTTATTTGAATAGATCGTTAATTGTTTGAAAGTGAATTATAATGCTTTTTATTAATAAAAATTGTGTCAAGTTTTTCGCGCCCAATTTCGTACCTATATTTTTGTAGAGTCTAGTTAACTGACTCTCATGCCCAATTCTATTTAGAGTATTATATCTTGGGCTTTTTGGGGTATTGTCTAGTTGTTTTGACTAGATTGTTATTGTTTGAATATATGTTATAGTTCTTTATTGTGAGTAATTGATCTCGCGTCTGGTGTTCGCGCCCAATCATACATCTTTAGTAATTTAAAGCGACTAATTCTTTTATTTAAAAGTAATATTAATATTACAGATTATTTTACCAGTAATTTTCTGAGGTGTGCCAAAATTATGTGGTTTGGAAGCATGCTAATTAATATAGGTCAACTTTGTTGACTGTAATCTCTCCAATTTTGGTAAAAATGTTTAGTTTTGATTTGCTTTTAAAAGGATATTAATTTACCTAATATGTCATCCTTATCCAGCTTGGTGGTCCATGTTAATTAATCTGATTTTCGTTTTTCTCGTGTTATGTAACAGGTTGAGATGTATAAGAACTTGCTGAAAATGGAAGGGAGAAGTATCAACTCGAGCCCAATTAACACACCACCATTCGAGGATGAAGGAACAATGAAGATTGAATCTCGAAGAAAGGTGGAGATAGTTGGTTTAGAAGGAGTAGTGTTACAAGCCGCGAAGCTAAGTGAAGCCGCGAAGCTAAGTGAAGACGCGAATTCAGCCAAGAGTGACATCCTTGACTATGATAGCCCACCTTACACCATTGTGAACCAATCTGCTGCGATAGTTGAGACATCTTCAACCCTCATTATGCGGGATCCTGACCAACAATCGGTCTTTGCACAAGAGGATCATATGATGATGACGAAAAGCTTGTTACTTCCGCAATCACCACCAACATACAACAATTTTCTTGAGGTACCGGATGATGATAAGAATTATGACCCTAACAACGCCAATACTTGTAACTTTTCGCTAGTTGATAATCAGCCTAACTGGTGTTGGCTTTACTAGCTTAGCTTGCTAGTGATGCTCTTTTTATAAGTACTAGTCGATAGTCGTTACCAATCCATGTACGATCAATCATCTTTACATTTTGGTACGACTATAGCTAGTACTCCGTAGAAGTTACTCATTATCAATCAATGTACGATCATCGGATCGATACATTTTGGTTTGACTATAGTTAAATTAGCAGTAGTTAGTCGTTCCCAGTCGATAATGTACGATCATCGTTACATTTTGGTACGACTACAGTTTGTAGGAGTTAGTCGTTTCCAGTCAATGTACGATCATTGTTACATTAGGGTACGACTATAGCGTAGTCATCTACATTTACTTTTTTTTTTTTTTTTTTTTTTTGAACAAGTCATCTACTTGGGCATACATTTTGTTCCCTGTAATGTTCTCTTTAATCAATAGAAATTATTATTAAAGATATTACCTCAACATTGAGCTTCACTGATGTTGTATAGTGTTTTTTATTTTCAACCATGGCCACCAGTTTCATTAGTTTTAACTCAATTTTCTTTATTTTTCGACCAATTTGATTTACGTACCTTGTATGGGTTTTTTCTTTACTTTACAAATTAAGTTAATAAAAACTTGTTTATCAAAACAAATAATTGAATTATTGTTTGTTGTCTATCACTCGAGAAGATAGTAATATGTTTCAATATATTCATTAGAAGCTAATAAGAAAATAGTATATCAAAAATTCGCGTAATTTGGTATCGTAGACACCTACTTTTGGCCTCCTATCTCGACAGGAAGTGCGATGATGTTACAAAAACCCATTATTCATGCTAAATCAAAGTTGAAGTGTTTATGGATTCTGAAATGCATTATGATGTAAGCTAAAACCCGTATTTGAGACCAAGTTATCTTAGAGCCTTGTACGATTACTAATTAGGCCTAAAACGTGTTCATACATGTTTAATCTTGATTAATAACAGACCCAAATGCGTCAAATGCAATGATTGGATCAAATAGATCTTACATTGTTGAAAACAAAGCCAATCAGAACAATTAACCACATAATATCCATTCAAGGCCTTGATAAATGGATAGCCCTTTCAAAGAGTTTTCCACGGTATATTATAAGCCCAATTTAGAGTTAAAACGAAGAACATATCATCAAAATACTAAACCGGGCTCGAAAACTGACACCCTTGCACTAAAACGGCCATTTCTTTTTATCCATAATAAATTTTAACCTAATTCTAACGGCATTGGAAATTAGACATTCAGGGCTTTCCAACGATATCTCATTTTCCTTAATCCGACTTCGTAATTAAAAGCTATGCAAGTATTAATAAACGTGTTTTCGAATAAGGCAAACTGTGTCGCGCGCAGCTCTTAATGTTGCGTGCGACAGCCTAGCGTGAGTGTCAAAGTTGTTCTCGGCACTCCAGTACAACTTTGAGAGTTGCACGCACTCTCTGACACCGCCGCTGTAAAATCCTAAACCTAGATTCCTACGCCTATCAATAGGGGCCTTCGGTTATACCTAAACACAAAAAAAAAATAAGAAGTTAAAACCCTAGAATTCTGAAAAACCATAATCTCTCAAACTCTCTTGCTATTATACTACTTTTCCTCTCTCTTCCTAAATACTCTTCAACCCTAATCCATTCTTTTGAATTCCTTGGAGGTACGAAGAAGGAGGGAAGTACATAAACATCTAAGACGGAGATCTAAGCAAACAAAGGAGAACAGTAAATTTCCTAAATCATCTTACTTTTCTTAATTTAAACAACTTTAATTGATTAATTAGTGTTGTTTGATCACTGTAAATAAAATTAATTAATTAATTTCACATAATATTCTTTCGTTAATTTTTTAAACACTAGAATCGGATAATTAATTTGTTGTTTTATCACTTAAGTCAAGTCGAATCTTGTTTCTTTATTGTTCTTTTCACGAATTTGGAATAAAAAAGGTGGATTGCTAAACATCGCCCGCAAATCTCCACATAAAGCCCACAAAATTCACTTGATTTGACAATATTGCCCTTGACCTAAAAAAAAAACACTCACACTCTCATCACTCACACTCTCATCGCTCATCTTCTTTCAATATCTCTTAAAAAAAAATTCAAACTACGGCAATGTCGAGGCGGCAAGGCAAGGAATTGGCGGCGGCGGCGGAGGGAAGGAGGTCTCAAGGAGGCAAGGTACAATTTCTTAAAAAAAAAAATTAAAAACCGCCGTGACGGAGGTGGGGCGCCTTGGCTGGACGCCCAGCTAGTGGTGGTCTGCAGCGTCCAGCCACTGGCTGCGCGTCCAGCCAAGGCGCCCCCCCCCTTTATTTGATAATTCATGTTGCGGCGTCTGCAGCTGGCGCCACCACCACTGGCTGGGCGTCCAGCCAAGGCGCCCCCCCCTTTTTTTTTGTATATGTCTATTAATTTTTTTTTTAATTTTTTTTTGTGTAATATCTTTTTCAATTGTTTTTATATTTTGTTGTTTATTTTTATAAATTTTTTCAATTTTGTTGTATTTTTTCTATGTTTATATTTTGTTTACAATTATTGGTGTGTTTTATTTGTACATTTTTATTTTTATTCTCTATTTCAATTTGTTAGTACATTTTTTTGTTCATTTGATATTGTTTTTGGTTAGTTAATTTATTTTAATTTTTATTATTGATTTATAAAGTCTTAAAAGGACGCTAGACAAAAATCAATATAAGTTCAGTAAATTATCAAATAAAGCGACTACACCTAATTGAAAACCAAAACTAAATTCGGAATGAATTATTTATGTTTATATATATTCTTATGTGTTGGTTTTATTTCCTTTCTTAGTGTATTTTTTATTCTATTATTTTTATTTAAGTGTTTTGTTAATTTATTTATTATGTTAATTTGTCAGTATGTTTTTAGTTTATTTGATTTGGGTATTGGTAGCTATTTTTCGTATAATTTTTTGTATGTTTATATATTTTTAAATTTTTTGTAGAATTCAATGGGTCGTCAAGGTGCGGGGAAGAATGTAGAGCTTCTTAGTAGAAGCTATTCAGTGGAGAGGTCGGGGCATAGACATGTTAGATCCCGTGGTATTTCGGCCTCGGCTCGTAGAGAACGGATCCACCGTCGGGATGAGGATGACAATGACGATGATGATGCTGAGGAGGGTGACCAGGAGGAGGAGCAGGAGGAGGGCGCATATGAGGATGAGGATGTGGACGATGGGAGTGGACCGTATGATGATTACGGTCCATTCAGTCAGAGGGTTGATGACATGTACGAGACACATATGGTGGAGGTGCGTAAGGGTAGGGGTGGTAGGTTTGTTAGTAGATCTGGCACATCATCTGCGTCCACTGTATCTGGGGCAAGCAGGAAACGGTCGAGGGCCGTTAATGATTCTTGGGTTGTTAGGAGTGAGGTGCCCGGTGGGCCTGTTGACGGGAGTGTGATTCCTAGCTTTCTAGGACACATAGCTGCCCGTATTTGGGAGGACCAGGAGAGGCCTTCAGTTACGGGGTTGTTGAAATGTCATACCCGGGAAAAGACTTGTAGCTTTTTGCGTACATGGGCTGAGGCCTTCAGTTACGGGGTTGTTGAAATGTCCGTTGACCGCCTCCGATCGATACGGTTATTGCTTGACAGGCTGTCTCCCTTAGAGGTAACGTTTATAAATTGTTTCTACATTTTATTATATGCACATATTATATTCATGTTATTAAATTTTAAAACTATGTGCAGGTGAACTGGATGCCTTTCGGCCCGAACCCTAGTGTTAGGGTACCCAGGATCCTGTACACGGGACTCATTCAGTATCGTGAGATCGTCGAGGCGTACATGCCCCAGCGTTGTCTTCGCCAGCTTGGATTTGTCCAAGTTGTCCCTCCTCCCCCGGCATGCCTGATGAAGGCGGTCCGACCTGCATCGTCGAGGGACTACGTCGTGCAATGGCCGGATATCATGATTGGGACGTGGGACCAGTTTTCGATGGTGGCCCGCTTATGGACTGCGGATTTGCAGAGGCCGCCCTCTGGGGTTCCTCCCATGTGTGACCACTACTACATGGAATGGTTCAACCGGTATTCGCACCCGAGGTTGATCGCAGATCTCGACCACAGCGATGATGATTATGTGCCACCGCCTACTGCCATGGAAGCGGTATGTCTCATAAAATATTTATCGTTGTTTTTAATTAAGTTTTATATGTTGTTATTGTATTTCATCTTTTATTTTTTGTTGTATGCAGTGGATGGGAAAGATAATGCAGGACGTACAGAAACTCTCTTTGGAGAAGGACAGCATGAGTGCAACAGTGAGAACTGCTGTTGATAGTCTGGAACAGACCCTTGTGCATTGGGAGTCGGCGTCGAGGAGGGATTACTGATGGTTTTGTCATTTTATTTATAGAGCACTTTAAATATTATCGTTTTAATTTATTAAATTGGACATTATGTTTTAAGTTTGTAACATTTTAGATTGTTCTTTTAGCTTTCAACTTTGACATATTATCATTGCTGTTTTTAAATTTTGACATAACCGTTCGTGGATCCGCGCAACTTACCCATGCAACATATAAAATGCAGTAAGCAATACAGTATAAAAAATTAATGTTCTCATTAAAAGAGCAACGTACGAATAAGATTACATAGGAAGAATGTAAACATGAAAAACTAAAATGCAGCTAGGGTGTTCCATTCGTGGATCCGATCATGGTATAGCGCATCCCAACCCTCTACGCTCGCTGTGCGAATGGTGTACCACTGAGGTATAATCGGTGGCACTGGAAAATCGGATGACATGTCTAGTCATATGAAATGTCTGTATGACGACCCAAGAAACGCAATAGCTACCTCTCTGACCGGTGTAGTGACAGTCTCACGCGAACTCCAAGGGAGAACCGTGGTACAAGGATAATAAGCTTGACTATGCAATCCCAGGCCGAAATGCATGATTGCGCACTTGTAAATGTTTGCAACGGCAAACAGATCTAGGGGCGTGTCAAAATAATGATTTTGGCCGCAAGGTCCACCTCCCCACCGGATACGCCGCAGAGCGCCATCCAAGTCATCCTGGTACACATGACGATAAACATTTCGGTTAGAGGCAATTTCGTTGTACATCAACTGACGCACCAAACTGTAGTTGTCTTCGCCCATTTGAAAAACATCAGCCACGACCCGGAATCCGCAGTTACCATCTCCGACTACATCATTCTACCCTTCCAAGTACGGCATGATGATCGCAGGTATCATGTCCTTGTACGGAAACTGATCAACATCGTTTCTTCCTATTCACCATATAATTAAACACAGTTAAGAAGGCAGGAGTAACCTTATAAACAATGTGCAATGTAAAAAACCAAAACGTACCAGTTCTCAGGGGCATATTCACAGACGATGAAGATTGACTACGACTAGATGACGAATTCCGACCACGAGCACGACCACGACCAAGACCACGGATATACTCAAACGCACTC